CTATTCTTTAATTGCCTTCTAGATGGGTGTAATTTTGTGCCACTGCTAGCAGTGGTTTGTTTTTGTGGGGCTTTTGGGGGGGAGACCTACATGTGAGGGGTATAAAAAGGGTGGGGAAGCCTTTTGCATCGCTGTTTCTTCTCAAAGAAAGTGTTGGCCCAGCAGTTGTCAGGTGTGAGCTTGAGTGTCTTGGCAGGAGCTCCTGAAAGACGTCATTACGGGACTGCTGTTCCTCAGTGTCTGTGCTCAAAGCTGGGGTGCTGCATGTAAACAGGATACAGGGGAATTTGGCCTGACTGTCTCTTATCTCATTTCTCCCTCAGGACAGGAGACCACCCTGCAAGGCACTGACAGCTGCTGCAACTTGGGGCTTGCTAGAAAATGACAAGTAAAACTAGGAAAGGATAAACAAGCTAACAATGAACCTCCGTGAATCTTTTATTCCTGTTGTATTTTAGAGGCATGCAGATATGTAGAAATCTGACTGGTAGTAAACATCTTTCACGTAGGGGAGGGATGATTTTCTGGAAAGAATATGAACTGATGTGGAATTGTTCATAGATTTCTGTCATTTGCTTACATGGACAGTTTCAGTCTGTCTCACAATATTTATAAACTGAAATGTGATAAATGAGTGATAAATAAGTTCAGTGATGTTCAGCCACTGGGGAAAAATAACAGATTTTGGGAGCTGGTAGATGTGCTGGGCTGGAGTTCAGATGTTGTACCACAAGTTCCTGCATAATTTTTTCCTAAATTGTGATTTGTATAGTATCCTCACTTAGGAGTGAGTATACTTGCTCATAGCAAGAGTTAAAATCAAATCTTGTTTTTTTACATCTTTAAGGCTGTGACATGTCTGTTGCAACATTTCCTTTCTTTGACAAGACATGTGAATTTCTGCAGAAATAAGGCCTTTAGGGGTTGTTGACTCATTACTGCTGAGCTGTTGGTGTTCCTTTGACGATCTGAGATTGTGGTGAGCATTTTGAATAGCAACAACAGCACCCCATAGGTACATGTGCAGTCACGTAGGCAGCAGTGTGAATGCAAAGAGACTAAAGTTGGGAAAGATCCCAAGGTAGCCAGACCTCACTGTCAGCGTTGAGATAAGTTGTTCGGTGTCTGTTCAACTTCACTTCTGAAATCTGTTTTCTAGAAGTCAAAAAGCTCAATGTGAGGAACTGTGGAGGCTTCTGAAGTACAGAGGTGACTTTGAAACAGGTTTTACCAGCACCAGGCTTCAGGGAAGACCTTACTCATATTTTACGAGCTGTGGTTATCTGTGAGCAGAGCCAGTGCCGAACCTCAACCTCAAGTTCTCAGTCTGCCATCTTAAAAGCTTTCTGTAGTGCTCTGTAGACCTTTGCTGTTAGTTCCATACTAGTGAGACATCACTGGGTTTTCTGTGTTTTTTTTGTGGTGTTAACTACCTTTCAACATTGCTTTAGCAACAACAAATATCTTAGTTTAACTCCTGCTGTGGAGGCATTAATTCTTGAAGAAATGCTCTAGTTATAATCCCTGGCCTTGTTCATAAATAATACTGAGAATATTTTTCTGTATTCATAAGAAAGTACTAGTGCTTACCCAGAAGAAGATTAGGAGGTTAACTGTAGTTCTGTCATGGGTTTTTGTGCAGTTACAGAATTGACTTTTTGTGAATTGCAATTTGCAGACTAGATTTAGATTTCTGTAGTGTATAAAATTGTTACTTATTTAAAAATAATCTTCAGTTCAAATGTTGAGAATTCCCTGACCAATGTGGTGTGGGAATTCACGCCCAGAGAGACTGAACAGTGCCTATAAGACCTGTGCTTTTTACTGTTATATCTGCTTATTTGTTTGCCTCTAGGCCCTTACACTGTCAAGGGAAGTGTTTTGAGTATTATCCAAGTTTTTCCTACCCTTCAGGCAGACTCTCTGTCACCAGCATGGATGCTAAAAGTTTGCCCAGCCTTTCGCAGGGTGGAAACTAAATAGAGGCTTTTGAGTTAGTGCAGTTTTGATGCAGGTGCATAAGTGTAATTAAGAAGGAAAATAATATTGTCCAAGAAGTGACTCATTTAGCAGGGACCTCTGTTCATGTTCCATCTCTTTGGACTTTGGCTCTTCTAACATTCTCCAGTCTCTCACAGCTTAGTCTCTGATCCCTGGTAGTTGGGGTGTAATACTCCTTCCCTACTGCAGAGGTTATTCCATAAGGAATCCCCCCCAGCAGCTGTTGTGGGATCTGCAGCAGTCACTGCTGCTGCTTGTTGGGCTATTCCACACTGAGGTTTGGCCCCTGGTGCTTAGTACATTTCTATCAGCCTGTGCAGGTGCACGAGGTCATTTTATTTGTGAACGAGAGATACCTGCTGGGTGTGCTTCTGAGCTCCACCTTGTGCACTGAGTTACAGCTCCTCTGTTAGAGATACAGGGTTTGGGGACCCTGTGTGCAGTTAGGGATTCTAAAACACAGTTCTCAGTGTGTTTAACACCCTGCACTCATGTTCATTTGCTGCAACCTGCTCCTTTCAGATTGGCAGTGCCCACGGTGCTGGAGGTGACTGGCTTGTGTGTTCTCAGACTTCTCTGGGGGCTGTTGTCCAAGTCCTTCAGTTAAACCCTCCAACATTTGGGACTGATGAGGCTAGGGATATGAAAGGAAGCATTTGGAGAAGTTTGGGTCTAGTCAAAGTGAAAATCCAGGTGGAGAGGAACATGTGAGTGAAGGCAAAATGTCGTTAAGTGGTGATTTGATGTCAAAGTGTATCACCAGAAGAGCTGCACTCCCTTCTGCAGTGGCTTCTTCCTTTTTCTGAAGACTGACAAAGTCAGATCTCTCTCATCCTTCACCCTGAAAAAATACTATCAAATAATTTTTATCAAATACTGTTTACTTCACCCTTGTCAGATGAATGGATTTCCATAGGCCATACACATAGTCCTGCTGTATTCGTTCAAGCCTGAAGTGAATTCTCTGATTTTTCTTGGGTTCTGTTAAAGGTACCTGTGATTTAGGCATGTTAGTTAATAGGAGGGTGCAGGGGCTCTAGCCCCACTGTGCTACGTACAATGTCTCAGTGAAAAAAAGCAAGGGTGAAACTTGCATTCACTGAAACTGAAAAACCATTAGCTGTGGCTAGGGACAATTTCCAGATGATTAAAACCCAAGCTCATAGATCTTTATGACTAGGCAATCTCATAATTTTCAGCTAAATTAAGACAGCAAGCAAGTCTAAACTGTACTTCCCTTGTATGCCAATAATAACAAATGAGAGGCGTCTGCAGAGGATGAGTTTGATTATGTCTCCTTCAGTTTTTTTGCACATTTAAAATACACGATAGCCTGAACACCCTCTGCTCTCCTCAGTTTTATTTTTATCTGTAGTACCACTTAATGAGCTATTAGAAATTAAATTCCTAGATAGTCCTGCTGGCTGCTCTCCATTGCAGGATATTACTGCAATAGTAATTGCTGCAGTAGTAGCTAGAACACCTATTTTTGCATTTAAATGTGGCATTTAAAGTCAGCAACTTGTTTTTTCTTCAAAAACATACATTCTTGCTTCTCTTGTTTGAGTAGTATTACTGAATGGCAGTGATACAGCATTGACTCATATAGCAATGATTTACTTGGTTTTCATTAGTGTCATTCCTTTAGGATTAAACAGTGTAACATATTTATTGAGCTGTCAGGTACCTAATTAATGTGGTGACACTGACACTGTCAGTGAGGTGTAGACAGCAGCTTCAGCTATTACTTGAGATTTACCCCAATACTTAGTCCAACTATGTTTGCAACCAAAACCTACTAATGGAGATGATCCCTTGGCTCTAGTAGTCCTGTTTTTTCCCCACCTTTCCTGTTTTGCTGATATGGGGCTACTTTGACCTTTTAGCAGCCAGGACAGACTCCTTCAATGGACTCTGAATAATGTAATTTAATCTTCAACGTATTGCCAGCTACAGAAATATTAACCCGAAATCTAAATCAGGTGGCATAAATACAAATTTCTTTTAAAAAAGCAAATAGCGTCTGATATCTGGATCACTGTTTCAATTCTTTGTTGGAATAATAGGAACTTTCTTTCTCATGCTGGGCCTGAATTGTCTATCAAGAGTGTGTTCTTCAGTGTAGGATTTTGCCCTGCTGTAAGAGGGAAAGACATTGAGGTGGCATTTCTAGAATTATGATAACATAGAGCATAAAATATGTCTTTAAACTGTGGTCTTAAAGAGAGCAGTTTGTATCCGTAGTACTCATGAGCCTTATTTAGGGGCACTTGATTTTCAGAAGTGGTAATGTATTTTGCCTGTAGTGATAGTAAGCTTCCATGCCAAATGCCCTCAATGGATTCTCGTGTTTGGTGGATGTTGCAAGTTGAGTTTTTGAAAGAGAATTTACTTGATTTTCCTGCCAGGCCAGAGGAGGAGATGTTTTGGCTCCTGCTTTGGATTTCAGAGTGTCTTGATGTGACCTGCAGCTGCATGTTGTGTTCAGTAGAACATCTGTTCAGGAGCATGACTTTCTGTAGGGCGAAGGGTGCTGGGCATTAATAACACCAAGATGATGTAGGAGTACCTAAGAACTGTTTTTGTTGGTTACCATGGTCAAGATTCTGTTAATCAGCTAGTGGAAGTTGATTTTGTTCAGGAGTCCAAAAACACAAAGCTCACTTAGAAGAGGGAGCAGGGACCAGAAGCAGCATGGATACTAAGTCCTTAATTACCTGAAACTTGTACAAATGTGTCCAGAAGTGCCTGTGGAGCAAAACAAGTGTTGGTGGAGCTAATTATGCTCTGAAATTCACTAAGTGGTTAAAGTGTCTTAAGAAATTATTTTAGGAATGAGGCTGGAAAATCTGTTAAATGTAGCTTTATTGAAATGAATGTCATTCTAAAGATGGCGACAAAAATTCCTCTTCTGAGTCTAGATAATGATGCTTGGAATCTGTGAAGATCTGAAATATGTTTGGTGTTATCTGACTGCTTTTCTCTCTCTTTTGATAGCGACCACATGGAAAATATTTATGGCTACTTAATGAAGTATACCAATCTGGTCACTGGTTGGCAATATCGGTAAGTTTTTTCAGCAGTCATGGATCATAGAATGGTTTGGGTTGGAAGGGACCTTAAAGATCAGCTAGTTCCACCTCCCTGCCATGGGCAGGGAGAACTTTCACTAGACCAGGTTGCTCAGTTTTCATGGTGCTTTTTAGTAATGTTGGTCATTGCAGCATCTAAATGAACATGTTTCAGATTTTTTTTTAGTAATGCTTAGATTTTCCTTTTTCTATTAGACAAACTTTATGCAAATCATATGCTTTTCTCAATACAGATTAAGCTAATGTGTAGATGACTCATATTTGCATTAAGACATGAATAAAAGGCAGGCACAGGAAATACAAAGCAGTTAACTCATTTGGTGGCTTGTAACTGCTTGTATGTGTAAACAGCATGTACAGCTTTAGGTTTTTCCCTCCTTTTCCTTTAAAATATATTGTATTTGTGTTTTCTGCTGAGTCTTCAGCTTTATGCCAACTCATACCATCATTTAAAAAAATTATTAAGACTTCTTTACTGTAAATTCAAATTCAAGCAATCTTTTCCCTTTAGTTCCCCAGGATGTCTGGAAACTCCCCTGGAATAACTTGCTTTTCTGTGTCAGAGGACATTCTCCGGTCAGACTCCCTGGTTGATGTTGTTACTAGAGCAGCACAGTGCAACCAAATCAATATTGGAGAGACAAGTGCTTTGCATACCACACTGGCCAATTGCCTGTGCTGCCACCAGTGTGCAGCAACTTGTGCCAGTATACTCATCATTAAACTCAAGTGAATAATTGAGGCATAATGGCCACTTCAATGATTTTTCTTTTTAAATCTGGAACTGCTTCAGTTTCACTGTTTTGTACCTCAGCTGTTTGACCCTTAGTTTATATAGTTTAAGGATGTATTAAGCCCTAGAGGTTCAGGATATTCTTTTGATGCCCAATATCTTGTAGTAGTGCTCTTCTGTGGGCATGTTGTGCTGTTGTGCAATATCTGGTCTCTGAGAAAAAAATGCTAAGAAATTATTTCTTCTGCCATCTTGGGGACATAATTGTATGTTTGGGGTTGTCCTGACTCAAATCTTTAAGTCCCAATTCCATCTGTGCCAACTTGTAATGAAAGTATTGACTTCTCTCTGTACTACCATACCCATACAAAAATGGAAAAGGAGCTGGTTTTATGTGGTGTATTTGCTTTATCATTGCAGGTTTTTTGTGTTAAACAACGATGCTGGCCTGCTGGAGTACTTTGTGAATGAGCAGTCTAGACATCTAAAGCCCAGAGGTACCCTGCAGCTAGCTGGAGCTGTCATTTCACCCAGTGATGAAGACTCTCATACCTTCACAGTCAATGCTGCCAGTGGGGAGCAGTATAAACTAAGAGGTAGGACCTGGATTCTGGACAGGGGATTCTTCCACTAGAGGACAGTCGCAGCTCTCACCTGTGGCTGCTTGGCTGGGCTTGGCTGCATGGCCAAAGTAAGAGAAGTTGTTTGGCAGACTGCTGCAATGAGAATGATATGCGAAGCTTTCATCCCACTCTTCAGTTGGAAACTGTCTGTCTTTATGGAGAATTCCATTATTTTTGGGTTTGATGGCCTTCAGAAGACCATGAACTTCATATGTGTAGAATAGCGTTTAATCTTCATGTATAATGTCCTTAAGTTGTACTAATTCAGTTTTCTAAATCATAGTAGGTAACAGTACTGTGTGGATGACTGAAGACAACTGCATTGTTATCTTGGCCTCATGGTGGTTATAAAAGCTCATTTTCTGTTTTTGTAGGCTACAGAAATCTGGGCAAATAACTTTTAGGATTTCTTGCCTTGAGGACTTGCTGTCATTTACTAATTCAGGGCACCTTACTCTTACTCCAGGCAAATGTTTCATGTTGCTAGATTATGATATGTGTGAGGGGAGTTATGGTTTGTTGCTTTTTTAGAATTAATTTTGCAGCCCAAAAATAGCAAGCAAGAAAGAAAAAAGTATATACCATTTATGTTGAACATGATTACATGTTATAGTTATTACAGGTGAACAAGTTTTAGATTAACAGTACAAAGCAATTATTCTTTTAAGGTCTTGTGAGTGTTGTAAAGAATTAAGCAGTCATTTTTGCTCATGCTTTGAAATGTCTTCATTAACATAATCCTTTTGGTTTGCTTTCATTAGCTACTGATGCTAAAGAGAGGCAGCACTGGGTTAGCAGGCTGCAGATATGCACACAGCATCACACAGAAGCTATTGGAAAGGTATTGTATCATTGATGTTTTCATGGGGAAGAATAATTTTGGCTGATGGTAGAGGTAGCTGCAAATACAACTGTCCTGTCATCTAAGATAAATACTACAAAAGGGCACGTGATTGGGCTTGAAACATGTCAAGGAACATTTTTCTGAGTAATAGCTGACATCTAATAGAAATATGCTGTAGGAATGAAACAAATGGAAGTCCATTTGCTTTTGAAGAGCTGAGTGGTTTTCCCTGAGCAGCAGGTACTCGTGAGCTGGTGTTTGAACAGAAGGTAGAGATGAAAGATTGGAGTATTAGCCCAGTATTTTCCAGTGGGTTTGTGTTGTTTGTTAATGGGCGACGAAACAGGACAAATAGTGTTGGTGAAGCCCCTCCATTTTGGGAGCTTTACTGTTTTAACCTTTACTCTTCTTCTGAAAACCACTCAACAGCCCACAAATAAATTTAGGATGAATTACCATGTTTGAGAAGCAAGTCCCCAACACTATAGCTGAGCACTGTTGCTTCCTTTGCTAACCTTGTGGTGGTTGTGAATATAGTGTATTTTACAGAACCTCCTGATTGCCATAACGTGTGTTCTGATACCTGAATAAAACCTTGCTTTTAAGTTACAATCCACACTTGTTAGCTGACTTTGTTGTAAGAGATAAGTTCCATTGGTAGTTCTAAATGAAATTCCTTTCTCTTAAATGTCAGCTCTGTCCTTGCAGGGTCTGTTAGGAGTCAATTTCTGGTACTGTTGCAGATCAAGGACTAATTTTCGAGTCAGAGCAGTGATACTTATTGATAATCAACCTCATTTCACAGATTGCTTATAATTAGGCTGTAAAACAGGGCAACTGGCAGCAGATAGTGCAAAAAATATTTAGCAGTTGCTACTGATACATTATTAGGGCTTTGTCAGCTGTCCTTGCTCTATAAAAAATAAGACTTGAACTGTTCTGTTGTATCTTTCACAGTAGAACATTTGCTGGTTATTATGAATTAATTTTAAATGTGTCTCAATATGCTTATTTATTCACTAGAACAACCCTCCTCTGAAATCTCGCAGCTTCTCTCTCGCATCCCAAGGCAGTGCCAACTCTCCTGGTGTGCAAAGACGACCCAGTCAAAATGCAGTTTCCTTCTTCAATGTTGGACATCACAGATTGCCAACTGGAAAAAGAGTTCCCATTATGCAGCCAGATCACCTTGTAGATGTTAGAGAGGTTTGTATGCCTTAAATTATCTTAAAGTCTTTTGAGAGAGCTGTTGTGATGTTTGTAGCGCTGTGGAGAAACCTGCTGTTCTTAGTTGGATATGTTGTTAGTAGCATATCCTAAGCTGTTACTGCACAGCTGTGCGAGGATAAGGAACTTGTCCTGGCTAATTGTAGAAGTATGTAGTGTATATTTGTGATTTTTGTACTCTGCAGTAGTATCCTGATACTGAAGGTAGAACTGTGCATGTTTTTATCCTTGCAAGTCCTAGCACTGCAGGTGACAAGGGAATATCCTTCAGGAAGTATAACATCACAAACTGTGATATCATTATAAACTTTTCTTCCCATGTCAAACTATAGAAGAGCTGACTAAGCTGTGCTTGTATCTCCTATGACTAAGAAGAGCTTGCTCATGATTGATATGTAAGAATGCTAACACCACTTTCTGGTATGCTAATTAATTTAGACAAATTGTCTAGGCATGGATGTGACCGAAGGGAGAGTAATTCAGAAACCTGTTTTCTTCACTACACATTCAGGTGGAGTGTGTTTTGAGGTTAGACAACCAGAAATAATTACCTTTCCATCTTGACTGACAGAACAGACTGACTACTGGTTGATTTAACTTGTGAATATTTACAGGGTAGATCATGCAAATCTAAAGATAACACTAAAACAAAATTTGTTGCTGAATTGCAGCCATGTGTTACTTAGTGGTAGTATAGATGTTAACAAGTGTTTTAATGCTAATAGTGTAGTTAGTGTAGTGTGATACATTACTTGGCAAATACAAGTTTCTAATGGAGGGCTTTTTAATTAGCAATTAAAGATGCAGGAAGCATGAATGGTTAGAAATTGAACTTAGACACAAAGTGGGACAGAAGAGTATTGTGAGCCTCATTAACCTTAAATTATCTGTCTGAGCATTGTGGTTAAGTTCAGCAGTAAATGAGTATTGCATATACTTTCCCTCTATGGTTTGCTGCCATCATCATTGTTCCTTGATTTATATCAGGGACTTAGGGGTAATTATTCAGTAGGCCACACAAGGTGACTGCCTCCTTAAACCTTGGAATCTGTGAATCTCTCTGCCCACAGCAGGCTGTTCTTGCAGATGTCTTGCAAAAGGCTGACTGCTGCCATCCTGGTTTTAGCCTCTAATAGCAGTAAAGTCTCTTACAGTGCTAATGCAAAGACATGTGAGGTCTTGCCAGGTACCCAGGAAAACTTCTGGCATCCCTGTGGCTTCTGTGCTTTATAAAGTGATTCACCTGCTTTATCTAGTGAAAGAGAAGTTTGTTTTCCAAATTCATTTTAGAACTGAAACTTTACAGGTAGTTGCTTTTCAGTTTGATTCATCAAATTACCTTTGACTTGTGATAAACTTCTTATTACAGCACTTGGAACATTTGGTAAACTTAAATAGTACTTGCATTTGCCTACCTATTGCATGAAAACAGTGGCAGGACAGAACATGGCATTATTCTACAGAATTCGTGCTAGCAGTTCTCTTAGCAGTTTCTATCTCTTTTTTTTTGTTGTTGTTGTTGTATTTTGGTAATTGAGAAGCTGCCTTTAAGTGAGGTAATGTTTCAGAAATGGCTTTTTCACTTCTTGACTTTTCAAATGGCAATATGGCATTCAAAATTTCAGGGAGGAAGGAGAATTGTGTGTGAGCTGAAGCAGTGGGTTGCATCCTCTAATTGGGTTTCTCACTGAGCAGGAGGTAAAGTGGAGTGATTTTTCTTGGCATTGCAAAGAGCACAGGAAACTTCATGTTCTGCTTTGGTTGCTACTGACTTTGGTGACACAGCATGATTATTTATCAACTTAAAAATTTCTGACCTGTACAGATAGGAATCCTCAGTAACAGTAGTTTTTCTGAATGTTAGTTTGCTTGCCCTTTATAGGCTAAAATGTTTGTTAGCTACAATGCCTACTGGGTTTTTTTAGATAGAGTACTTAACAGGGCAGGTCCTGTTACACCTGAGCATGATACAGCTCAAACACTTAGAAATTCTGTTTGAGAAGCTGTGGGAAGAGCAACTTCTCTTTCAAAGGATCTAGCTGGGTCTTCTGTCAGTCCCTTTCCTTTCAACTTCTCCTTGTTCTTGGCTGAACACGTGTCATGCTGCTGACTTGGATGCCTTGCAAAGCAGGAGATTTAAGAGGATCTTTATGCTGACTTGCACTAAATGCAGGTGTGTGTGTTTGCAAAGTGAGAACAATAGCTTCTGTACTTCTCAAAGGTTTTGTATTTTTAGTCTCAGTGCTTTTCCTCTCCTGGCACTATTTTTTTCCAAATCTGAGTGTATAAATAGGGAAAAACTTAGTGCTGTTCAAAGTGTGTTCTCTGACAGAGGAGATGAATACTTGAACTTCAATGCTGAGCGTAGCATGGCTTGTCCTATTGTCTGTCTTGATCCTGGAGTGAAGTGCTAAGGTCCTACCACATAGTAAATTACTAACAGTGAAGGTCACCAGAAGGATCGTGGTGATTTGTCAACTCATCTGTGGGTTTTGTTTTTTTTTAATCAAACACACTTTTTCAAAGTATGTGAAAAAAGCTGCACACAAAGACTTTTATCACATTAGTGACTGGAGGAAAAATGAGACCCATGTTGTGATAGCAGCTGGTGTGTTTGCACAGCCAAGGCTATATATAACTAAGTGTTCTACTAGCTTTCTGCCCTGTTGCTCTTGGGACATGCTAATGCTGACTCTGCACAGTTCATGTCATTTAGAAAGAGCCAATGCTCTCTAAATTCACACCTTAGCAGGCTACATAGCCAAGCCTTTAAACATTCCAAATACCACATATCCTGAGCTTGGATGAATACGTGTTCCTAAAGTATTTATTGCATAAAATCTTAAAAGCAGTTCCTGGAAGGGATTGCAGACAGAAGCACTGAAGAAAAATAATCAATAAGGTATTGCTAGGATTGGTGAATTGTAAACCTATGTAGTACCATAGCAGTTAAATACATGAATGCATCTCAGATTCCTTAAAGAAATTCTGCTGCTCTGCTAAATCAATCTGTCTTAACATTTATCTGAACTGCCAGAGCACATAGTGATTGCAGAATAGTGCTGTCCAGTTGTACTGGTGCTGTTTGCTGTCCCTCTCCAGAAAGGGGACTAGCATGTGTAGGAGTTTGCTTTCATCCCTGGGATTCAAAATCACATAACATTTTGCTTCTCTGAGTATGAAGAGGAAAGTGCTGCTTGCTGGCTGGTGTGCTTTGCCTCTGTACCTCTTTGTGGGCAAATGTGCTGTTGCAGGTTCTGTGATTTAGGGATGAGGAGTTCTGTATGAAAGAGTAAAGGAGCATGGAGGAGAGCGAGGGGGGACAACAGGAAAGCTGCAATTTGAACACACAGTGAAGATGAAAATCCTGCTGGCTTTTCTTCCCTCTCTGCCAAGTAAATGGTGAGATGGTGATCCCAAGTGTAGTGTCAGTGCAGGCAACAAATGAGAATCCTATATGGTTTGAGCCAAAATGAGTCATACGAGTATTTTCCTTTAAAGTGCTGCATCTTTTCTTGTAGGGAGTGAAAAGATTTTTGTACCCACAGGTAGCAGTTCCTTTTCCAGTCTGTGCAGAGGACAGCCTGGAATTACTCCTCAGACAGAGTGTGTGTGGGGTTCCTCCCCACCCCCATCCCTATCAGCTGGGCATGAAAGTGTTTGATATTTGCTGCAGCAAGTACCGTGTTCAAATTCCTCTGCTTTCTTTTTAAGTCACTTTGTTATTGTTGTGCTTGTTGATAAGGTGCCTTGTATTGCTGTGGGAAATTGATTGTGCATTTAATGACTCTGTAGTAGCTGCATCAAGGAAAAAAATGTGCAGGTAACGTTACATACATCTGTTACCTTGTAGTTTTATTACTGTCATAAAATCGTTTGGTATCTTCTATGTGTGCACAGCTGAACACATCACACAGCACTTCTACCACCTGATAAGTGACTGCTTTGTTTGACAGATGATGTCTCAGGCTGAGGGCCAGCAGAGAGACTTGATCAGGAGCATAGAATGCCTTCCTGTCTCCGGTCACCTTACATCCTTGGATCAAGACCTGTTAATGCTCAAAGCAACTTCCATGGCAACCATGAACTGCTTAAATGACTGTTTCCATATTCTCCAGTTACAACATGCTTCTCAGCAGAAGGGATCCTTACCAGCAGGTGGGTATAGGTGCTCACAGAGAGCAGAACTCTGTAACAAATGCAGATCCTTTCCTTCTTGCAAAAATGTTTGTTCCACTAAATCCAGTTTCACGTGGGCAAAGAGAACTGCTGACTGCCTGGTTTCTGATTTTTTTCCAGAGCCTCTCTTGCCAGTGTTGGGTGGAATTTCATGCATGTAGTACACTTTTTTTGATAGTTTATTCTGTCAAGAAGTCTGTGGCAGCAGCTGCAAATAGGTAACATCTAATTGTGGAGCTTTCACAACAGAATGAAGCACATAAGGCACTTCATCAAGAAGGCTGTCTTAGTATTTTTTTAGCACACTAAATACCTATTATAAGCATTTACATGTGTGTAGCTTCCATTTCTAGTTAAACATTAAAATACAAAGCTCCACATTTGCATAGGTTATATTATCAATACTGTTTGTATATCAGTTTTCTTGATTTGAGTTACTATCCTAGTCTAAATCATGGGCTGAGTCTAGTGTTGCATTCCATTCTGAGGCCAGAACAGACTTGTAAGTTAGATTGGTTAAAGGTTAAGGAAAAAAAGAAAACCTGTTTTAATAAACAACTGACCACCCAAACAAACAGAAACCCCACAAACCACAAACCCTACTGGTCATTGGTGTGAAAATTTGTCCATTCACAGACCCCAGACAAAAATGTTGCCACGTCTGCACAATTGATCACTTCTGTGCAAGTAAGAGCTTAGCAGAATTGTTCTACCTAATTCATGTGCAGTGTATGGAACTGAATGTGTTCGTTGTTGTTTGTAAATTCTGCATCTTACTGTGCCTTTTTTCATGGGTTTACTTTGTGGCTTTTTGTGATCAAAAACCTTTTGAGGATTTTCAAATGCTTGTCTTGCACAACAGATCAGTAGATATGGTAAGTATGTTACAAAGTACATTAGTAAGTTGTCTCTTGCCTTATCTTTCCCATATTCCTATCATATTTGTGGTACCTGCTTTACCATGGCATATTATTTTGGAGCTGTAATTAGTTTAGCTTCTAAGATGAAAAAATATGCTGTATAAAGGTATTAAAACTATAAAAGTATTAAAGCTATGTGAACAGAGTTTGTGATTCTAAAATCACCACTGGCGTTAAAAGATAATATGTGAACAGGATAAATTGACTTTTTTTGCTGAATTTCAGTTGAAAATTTAATTTTAAAAATGAAAAGCTGGATGGATGACATCTCTCCAAATCTTTGTCTGAACTCTGAAGTTACTTGCACTGGAAGAACTCTTCCAATTCCCTGTGAATTTTTTTGATTATTGATGCTTAGCTGTGGGAGGTGAACATAAGGAGTATTTTTGTTTAGTCATTTCCATATGTGCACTACTAAGGTGTTTCTTTGACTTCTGTCTGGGGACGTAAGTAGGGTCCAGTGAGCAACACTGTAATAACCTATGAAGATCATCATAGAGTCATAGAATCAGCCAGGTTGGGAAAGACCTCCAAGATCATTGAGTCCAAACCTACTGTTGTTACTAGATCATGGCACTAAGTGTCACATCCAGTCTCATCTTGAAAAACCCCAGGGATGGTGAATCCACCACCTCCCCGGGCAGCACATTCCAGTGTCTGATTACTCTCTCTGTAAAAAAAATCTCTTCCTCATATCCAACCTAAACCTCCCCTGGCAGAGCTTGACTCTGTGCTCTCTTGTCCTCCTGCTGGTTGCCTGGGAGAAGAGACCAACCCCCACCTGACTCCAACCTCCTGTCAGGGAGTTGTAGAGGGTGATAAGGACTCCCCTGAGTCTCCTCCAGGCTCAACAATCCCAGCTCCCTCAGCCTCTCCTCATGGCACTTGTGCTCAAGTCCCTTCACCAGCCTCGTTGCTCTTCTCTGGACCCGCTCCAGAGCACCTCAATATTCCTCATTTTGTTTTGGGTTTTTTGACAAGTGTTGTAAGTTTTAAATTTTTTAGATTATGCAGAGAAAAGCTTATTCAATTGGTATCTTCTTGTTAATGGCCAAATATAAAATAAAAATTGCTTGAAGGTGTCCAGATCTTGAAGATTTCTGTTGATATCCAAGGGAGATGAAGAGAATCAGGAGATTGGAAGATGTATTACTGGGCCTAGAGTTAAAAACACCATTAAAAGAGTGCATGTGCCTTTCTGCAGTCTTTACTCTCCCACTGGTGTGGCCTTTCTAGAGGCACAATAATGTGTTTGTTCCTTTCAAGGATTGCAAAGAACTGTTTATCTGTTATTTTTTAAAATCCATTTGTCTTAGATTTCTCCTCTTGTCTCAGGAGGGATACTCCTGGTTCAATTGGTGGAGCCTTTTTGGTAGGCTTCAGGAGTTAATGTAGAAAGAAAAAGGATTGTGGCTTAATTCAAATGCTGCAGGAGCCATTTCTGTGTTTAAGTGTAGAAAAACTTAACATGATGTAGGAAAAAATTTTAATGCAAACTTTCTATCTAGTGAAAGACAGAAGCAGAAAAGCAGGTCACCATGCTTTGCCTAGATACAACTGAGGTGCAGCAGGAAGTGTTGGAGACTTGTGTCATGTAACATCAGTTTAAACATGAAGTGGAAAAAAGTATTTTTGGGACTGTTAAAAGTGGTATTTAGCTGCTAAGAATGTGTTGGGCAAGTGTTTGTTGGGCTTAAAAAAGAAGGATTAGAAATTATATAAGTGTGCCAGTTTGCTATGAATTGTTAGATGACAAAAAAAAACAAACCAGAAAACAAACAGAAGAGTGAAAATACTGCCCCAGCACATCAGGGTATCATGGATCACAAACTTAAAGATGAACAAGAAAGTTTCGGCTATTAACTCTTCCTAAATGAAAGTCAAAAGTGGTGAAATGGACTGGATTATATTTTTTAAAGAAAGTTACTTTGCAATTCACCCTTAGGATAATAATGACAATTTGCAACTCATGAAGAAAAGTGTTGGAAGTGAAGACTCTAGACTCTGAGAGGTCTGTGTTGTAGCAGAGGGGAAGTGTTGACAACTGTGTAAAAAGAAATGAGTTGAAGGATTTTAGGGAAGGAAGAGATCACAAGTAAGGAGAGTAACTTGTGCCTGTGCAGAATAGCTGAGAGCAGATTCAAATATCAGCTTCCAGTGGAAGATGTGTATTACTGTGGTATCTTGTCCATTCCTGAAGATTAAAACAGAGCTGGTAGCTGGAATCTTTTAAAAATACCCTCCTAACAGCAAAAACTAGACAGAACATAAGTTTATTTTAGGTGTAGCTGATAGAGAACATAAAAGGGAAGCTATTTGTTAAATTCAGTCATAGAATCATAGAATTTTAGGGATTTGAATGGCCCTTATAGATCATCTAGTCCCAGCCCCTTACCATGGGCAGGGACACCTCCCCACTAGACCAGGTTGCTCAAAGCTTCATTCAAGCCAATATCAAGCTAATACAGAGGTAGTGAGTGTGGATTAAATGCAGCCTAGAACATGCAGGTAGAGATCATTGTGTTGAAAGTTACAGCTTGGAAAAGCAAGTGTCATGAGGAGGTTTTAAAGACTAGTAAAACCTTTTCAAAAAGGTGTGACAGTGACATTCTGAGCATCTTATTTTTTGACTTCTTTGAAACTTCTGTTTAAATAGCTTAAACTTAAGCTGCTCAGGAATTCTTGTTTCTCATTATTTAATGGATTAATGAGTAATAGATGCTGAGAATAAACTACCTTGATGTGGGAAAAGTTTTGTCCTGTTAGTAAAGCTGGACCTTTTTCCTGCCCCGGTGTTCTCCTGGTGGAAATGCTGCTGTTTATTGAATTAAGTTTACTCTACCTGTTATGGCTGAGGATTGTGACCTAGTTCCAGGTAACGGGTTAGGAAATAAAGGATTGTGTATCATACAGGAAGAGACAATAGACACCTCAGTGTAGGTTCCTAAGCACAGGGAGCTGCTGCCTGGTGATAGAAATTCAGGTTTCCTAATAATTTCTGTTTGCAACCCAGCCAAGATGGTTTGTCAGTTTGTGTATTCTTCACTAAAACCTGTCTGGAATCACCTGTACATGTATTACCCTTTGAAAAAGAATGGAACATTTGCATTATTAATGAGGAACCCAATCCATTCTGATAAATTAGCTGGGAGTAACTGGAGATGCTGGAATCATCAGGTGGGTAATAGCTTTCCAAGCCCTGCAGCTTTTTTTTTTCTTTTGACAGCTATTATTTATTCAACAGCGTGTGCCTGCCTTCTCTGCAGCTGAGAAAAGACAAGTGCCCTCTCCAGAGAAAACACGTTTAACAAAACTTCTGCTTTAAGCTCTTTTTAGCCTGGAACTGAGCTGGTTTTGAGGAGCTGAGAAGTGCAAAGCTGGTTTGGTGTTGGTTTTTTTTGGTACCAGTTAAAGAAAATTGTAATGCTTACTTGACATTCCCATGATACTGGGTTCCTCCTGTAGTGTCTGATTACACCTTTCATGACACCAACTAGTTTCTCCAGTCCAAGTTGCATGTATTACAGCTCGCCAATCGCAGTGTTTGTGCTAATGATCACTGAAGGTGGTGTCTCATTGCACCACCTTTGTTTAGTGGCTGCTGGAGGCATTGGCTGCAGGAGGAATTGGCTGCATCCAGCTTGTTCCATAAAAACATAGCTCTTTTGTGAAAAACTGCTGTTTACTGACCCTACAGAGGATGAGCAAGCTTCAGCGCAAACTTTCTTTTGCTTCAGGAACGACAATCAGTTGGTTGGAACCGAAGATCTCCCTGGCAAACCACTTCAAAAATGGAGCGGCTCAGAATTTCCCGGCAGAGATAAACAAGCCAGAATCTGTCAGAGAAGAGCAGTCCATTGCAGAGCCCTGCCAGCTAACAAGGGTAAGGTAATGTGAACATCCCATTTCTGTGGGGAATTATTTGGAGGAATATCTGCAGATGTTTCAATCATATGATACGAAAGTGATTTAATGGCTGTTATTCTCATACCTGTGATTAGCTGTGTTGGAGGAGGAGTGAGTACAGTTGCAGTAAATGAAACTGTCTACCTTGGTTTTTTTCAACAAATTTTTGCTGCTTTATGTAACTAACTGTCAAGTGGAGAGAGCCAATTGGGATGATAATGCAAGGTGTTGAAATAGGCAGTATTCCCTTGCATTTTGATCTAAAACAAGGAGATAATGAAGTGCAAAAAACCTAACCGGAATTCCTGACACTCTCAAAATAGGCCCAAGAACAAGTGCCTAAGCAGACAAAAGACAAAATTGCTGGTCTCCAGCTATTAGACCTCCCTGTCTTTCTTTTCTAGGTCTTGCTTGCATATTTTTTTCTTAATCTGAGCAACTCTCATCACTTGACTTCAGCATGGCTTAATGCATTTGAAATACAGCTACAGTCTGTATCATTGTAACTGACGAAATTGATTTGAATTGCAAAACACTGAAGTAAAAAACCAGCAGGGATTACGATGAAGAACATGTTATCCTAACTAAGCTAGAAAGTCATAATTGCATTCTCTTTATGCTAGTTGGTTTCACACAGTTGTTTGGCTGAGACTGTGTCATTGTGAAAAGATAATGTGGTGTTTATGTCTCTGCAATCACACTGGGCTGTCTTAGAGCAAAATCGAAACAGAAAAGATTTTTTCAGTTGCTTTTTTAGTTACTTTGTTAGTTTACAGATTTTTAAATGGGTCAGCAGTTACTATTAAGTAAAAAAAATATGAAACAAGACTAGGAGTTTTCAACTAAATCACTTAACTCTTTCCTTCCATTAATTAAGCAAGTTACAGTCCGAGGACTTAATGTATTTGGGGTATGACTAGTGTTAACACTCCCTGTAGGTATTTTCAATTCCTTTATTTATGGAGAATAACAGCATAGCATCCTAGCAAAGTATCACCTCTGTGATACTGCACTTTTAATCAGGATTTGAGTTCTGTGTGAAGGCTTGGCCCCTGTTTTTGGTGGTTGAGTGTTCACAAATCTGCCTTGAGCTAGGACAGCTGCTCCAGGACAAAGGGCTTTGCTTAGGCAGAGGCATATTGCTGCCCTCCCGTGGCATTCCGTGCCTCTCCCTTCTGCATCTGCCTCCCTCCAGCTGTTTGCCCCAGGAGGATGCAGCTAGGCATACCAACATCCCTTCTGCCTGAAGCATTTAACTGTCTGCTTGCATTGTGATGGTTTTTAAAACAGTGCTGATATAATTTCTACCAGTCTGTCTGCTTTAGCTGTGCAGTCAATTAGCACACATAGTGTGTGTATGTGTGAGGGTTTGGTTGGTGTTTTAAACTGTTTCAAGTTACTTTTCCTTTTTCCTTCACTGTAACATATTTGCACTAGCAGCAGCATTGATGATGCTTCTGAAGAGTAGCTTATAGATACTGGGCATGATGGGAAGCAACTAACTAGGAACTAGCATTTATTACTGGCTTTGGAGTAATGTGATCATACAGC